GTTTTATAACCAGAGAAAAATTTGAAGGAAGAAAAAAAGTTACTGCCTTTAATCTTTAAAACCAGGGAAAGTCCTGAAAGAGCCTGGAACCAGAGGACACATCATAATGTCTTACTTTTCTCCCTTCTCTGTCTTCAGACAACTGCAGCCCCCGCTTTCGCGCTCTTGATCCGTCCTCAGTGGAGCAGGAGAGTGACGGGCGCTCCTTAGGATAGTCATCTTGCATCCATTTGCAAGCTGGAATCCTCTTTTGGTTTTCCTTCTTCAGACTCAACAATCCCAGTTACAGTCACCTTTTCATCTGAATCGAATTGTTTTTTTCAGGCTAAATCCTATTTCAGGTAGTTTTACAGAGAGTGCCATTATTTACCTGGATTTTTGTCAGATTAAATAATTCATGAAATAAGTATTTTGATAATAAGACTCAACTCTCTTTGCTATATGGAAATTTTAATCGTAATTCTTGCAGAAGGGTTTTTTTTTCCTTCTTATCCTTGGTAATTTGAGGTTCACAAGGTCCGCTTTATTTATTTATTTATTTATTTGAGAGGGAGAGAGAGAGAGTGCGTGCGAGCTCCTGGGCATGAGCAGCATGGGGAGGGGCAGAGGGAGAGGGAGAGAGAGAATCTTAAGCAGGTTCCACGCCCAGCCGGGAATCCGACATGGGGCTTTATCTCACGACCCTGAGATCACGACCTGAGCTGAAATCAAGAGTTGGACACTTAACTGACTTTACCGCCCAGGCGCCCCTCACAAGGTTAGCTGTAGATGGTGTTCAGGCATAACAAGTGCAGTGTCTTACTCTGATACTTTAAGTCCCAGAGTAGTTAAAGTCCTGAGAGACACATGCTAAAGAGATTAGAGGAGGTACTTTGGCCTGCAAAGAGCCCCCTTCATTCTCAGACACACCTCTCCATTCTCAGTGGCCACTTACCGAGGTCACTGCTGCCACTTGGAGATATAGCTTATAGGACACGGCGATTAAAATTTCCATATAGCAAAGAGAGTTGAGTCTTATTATCAAAATACTTATTTCAGGTGGAGATGTCTGGGAGGTACTTGCAGTAAGACAGCCAGCTGCCTACACATGGTCCATTTTTCAGCAACGGAACTCTCATTTTCAGCCAGGCACATTGCCACCCAGGTAAAAACAAAATTTTCCCGTCTCTGTGCAATTAAGTGTGATCATAAGACCAAGGGCTGGTTGCTAATAGGTTACCTGAAGGATGTGTGGGAGTTGCAGCAAGTCCCCTTTAGAAAGAAAAGAGTTCAATCTTGCTCTCCCCTTCTTCTCTCTTGTAGTCTGGGGTAGGGATATGATGGCTGGAGCTTCAGGGCCCATCCTGGACCATGAGGCCAAGGACTACACATGGGAAGGTAAATCACAGCTGGGAGAGGCAGAATCCTGGATGAGTCCTGGACATGCCATGCCCGCCTTGGATGGCCTCCTTGTGGGCTTCTTTCACATGAATGTATTGAAGCCCCTATTTGTTAGGTCTCTGCTAGTGAGAGAAGAAAGTAATTCCTAACACTGAATTTGTTCCTAGAAATGGAATCTGCAGTAACAGAACCCAAAATGTGACATTCCCTTAGTGGAAGAGAGGGGAGGGTCAGCATTAAGGATTCAATTACTGCAGGCTGGGATTTAAAATAGAGCCACACGTATTTTTCGACATGCCTCTTATCGAGAGATGGGATCTTGGTCCCATCCACTTGAATCCAGGCTGGCTTGTGAGTGCTTCCGCCAATAGCGTACTGTGGAAGTGATGTTCTGTGACTTCTGACTCGGTCATAATACACCATGCACCTGTCACCGAGTAACACTCGCTCTTGGAGCCCTGAGTTGCCATTTAAGAAGGTTGATGATCTTGAAACCACCATGCTGAGGAGGCCGTGTGAAGGTGCTCTGACGGTCAGTCAGACTGAGCCTGTCCTTCGGTCACCTAGGAACCAGATATGTGAAGGAAAGAGCCATCTCAGACCCTTCAGCTCCAGGTATTCCAGCCCCAGCCATCTGAGCCCTCCCCAGGCAGTTCAAGTCATTTCAGGGGAAGCCCCACCCATGAATAAGAGTTGCCCTTGCTGTGCCCTTTTTAAATTCCTGACCCATAGAATCTGTGGGCATAATCAAATGGTGGTTCTTTTATGCCTGCATTTTGGTTTTTGTTTTATTTTGTTTTTGTTTGTTTGCTCAACAATAGGTAATTGGGACAACTGGTAATTCTCATTATCTTGTTAAGGTAAAAGTTTAGTTTTCTGTCATAGAAAAGAAGTTCAGAGGTAGGCAGACCAGGGCTAGATTGGTGTGTTCATTGTCAGCAGGAGTTCAGATCCCTTTATCCTCCCTGCTGTCTGGAATGTGGACACAATGGGTGGAGCTCCAGCAGCCGTATTGGACCAGAAGGCAAACTTGAGGATGGCAGAAGCAAGAGCTGAAAGGAGCCTGGGTATCTGCTAAGAAACAGATAAATCAATTTCTTCTATCTTCTTTAAGATACTCTTAAGAATCAAAAGATCAAAAGTTTTTTTTATCTTTTTTGATTATGTAATGAAAAGTAATGCTAACTGGTATAGAATTTGAATACATGAAACAAGAACTTAGGAAACTGGCTTGGCTGGAGCTAAAGGTTTGAGAATTTTCAAAATAGAAGTGGTGGTTGAAGTCCTGGGTGTAGATGAGACTTGTCACCCCCAGAGGGAGGAAGCCTAGTTGGCAGCCCCTAATGCGTTCCTCATGTGTACACGGCTAATACCGAAATTTCCCTTTGTTTTGCAAGGCTCTGTTTTGATGAAGCCCTTCTACGTGGGACGAGAAGGAAGCTCCTTGAAGTGTGGGGTCAATTGTTAATCATTTTTATTGTCCCAGTGCCTACCACAGTGACTGGCATGCAGCGAGAAAGCAAGAAATATTTGCAGGCGGAACTGAGTTGAACTGCTGTTGGCAAGGAAGTGTGGGAAGGGAGGGTTTCAGGAAGGAGGGGTGGTCTGTGGTGCCAAATATCGAGAACAGTCAAGTAAGATAAGGCCTGTAAAGGGCTGGTGCCATTTGGCTCAGTGTATCTGGCAATCAGGACATTGGTGACCTTGGGGAGAAGTGTTTTCACGGGGACTGGGGACAGAACACAGTGGTGTGTGAGAAGCCCAGGCAGGGGTGAGGGCAGGAGTCAGGCTGCTTTTGCAGCACCAGATAATGAATGAAGATGAGTCAACAGCATTTACCCACATGGCCATTTTATTCTGGGCTCAAATACTACAGTGATTTTTATAAGCCTCATTGTACACACTTTGATGAATCCAAGGCAGGGCTGTCTTTACTGTCCAGCAAACAGGTCTTACAGCGTGGCTTACTCTAATTTAAGGAAAGCCTGTTTGTTGCAGATGGAGAGAAAAGATGTCAAAGTAGAAGCTGTTGGCTGCTCTGGCGTAGAGGATGGGCGGCATCCCAGGTCCGAATTATCTGGGTGGGGACCAGTTTTGCAGGTCCAGGAGCCCTGTTTACCAGTGGGTTAGGGGCATTAATGGATTCCTGCTTTCCAAGCTTATAGGAGAGTAGGGCATGAATCCACACCGCTGAAATTTAATATGTGTAGCCTCATGGGGATGTGGGCGGTGCGCAGAAAGGAGGTGGGAATCTCCTTAAAATGCAGATTCTGATCCAGCATAACTGAGGTGGGGCCTGAGCTTCTCTGCATGTCTATCTAACCAGTCCCCCACCACACTTTGAGTAGCAAGGATGGATTTTGGAAGCCGATTTTTCTGGATTTTCGTTACTTGTCACCACTCATCATTTCCTAGCAACCCAAGGACTGCTTCGGGAGCATAAAGGCCAGGAAAGAGGGCCAAGTCTTCCAGGTTTGCTGGGCTTCATGCTTTCTGGTCACATCTCCCATTGGCCTGGACATCTCCATGGCTCAGGGTACATATTTCTTTAGTCAAGTTCCTAGCCTGATGGGAGGCCTGGATACTTTGGGCTTCTCTGTGTCCCAGGGCTTTCCCAGTGACTTGTCTGCCAACCTTCTGCAAGCATAGATGGGCTTCTTCCTCAGGGCTAACCTACTCCTTTAAGGGTTGAGTCTTCCTTGTTGAGAGTTGCCTTGGGGCGACTCTCCAAGAGCTAGGGATGTACTGGCCATGGTGTTTACATGATAAATAAGAGGAATCCCATTTAGAAATAAATAATCCCGTCTGGAAACCAGAGAGGAAGGTGAGAAGGGAACCGAGGAGTGCTCCTGGGACAGGCTGGCTGGTTAGTGCTGGCCTGATGCCTGACTCCATTTCCCTGCTCAGACATCCCTGAGCTGCACCCCAGATCCTCGTTCCGAGAGCTTGAGCTGCAGATGCAGGCTTTGCCGGGCATGTCGTTGGAGCTGGGTGCTCAGGTGAGGCTGCCTGGTTCAGATCCCAGGGATCGGTGGTCCAGGGGCTCTGAGCGGCTGGGGAGGGACTGCCGACACCTGCCCGTCACCTGTTTGGCTTTGTTACTGAAGAGACCAGTTCTCGGTCTAGTGCTTGGTCAAGATCTTCTAGATCATCACACTATCTATGAATACCCTGATTCAAAACAACGAAAACCACAAAATATAATAGCCTATAAAAATAATGATTGCCTTAATTTTAAAAAGGCGTTTTTTTCCAGAGAACCCAGAGTACTCTTAGGTCCTCCTCTTGTTTATTCCTGGAGGCCCTCTGTGCCAGGAGGCCGAGAGGAGTAGAATCAAGGGGGCTTTGAGCTCCAGCTCGCAGGCTGAGGTTTCTGGGGAACCTGTCTCTTCCACAGGCCATGCTTTTATTCTCCATACTTGGGGCATGTGTGGGACCCTGTTGCTACCGGACCTCCTTCCCTGCAGGGAAAGGTTTAAAAAAATTCCTGTGGGTCTAAAATCCCAACACATGCCCGTGTTATGTTCCTTTTGTCTCTTTCTCTATCTCCCTCAACTTTTTAAAATTTTTATTTCTTTGATAAAAAGCCCAGGTCAGCCTGCCTATACCCCTTGCCAGAGAGCAGAGCCAGCTGAGCAAGCTGGTCAGCCCCAGTGGGCTCCACGCCTCTGACCATAGAAGCAGACACGAGATCGGTGAGGCTCGCTGGGACTTAGGAGGGACACTCGCTCTTCAGGTGTTTCTTCTTCTCCATCGCCAGTCTCAAGGCCTGAAGGAGCTTGTCCTTGTTATTCAGGATGTTGTACTCAGAGAGCTTCACCAGCTTGTCAAAGGCGGCCTCTGTGTATGTCAGCTCCTTGGTAGCGTATGGAGTTTGGGGGCCATAAATGTCCACGTGGCCTTGTTCCAGCTCCTCGGGGCTTCGCTCCACACCTGGAGGCAGCAGAAGGATTTGCTATACACGGAAGGTTGTAAGGGCTTGTGTCTGTCTCTCTCCCCATGGCCTGTCCCAGCACACGTGGGCACACACACGTGCATGCACGGGGGCACACACACACACACACGTGCACATGCACACCTCCATGCTCCTCAGGGCAGGGATGCAGCTTGCCCATCTTAGGACCACCCTGGCAGGACACAGAGCCAGGCACCTAGTGGGATGTCAATAAATGTTGAATGACTGCAAGAGTAGAGGATGACACTGCTGGCTCATGCAGGGATGGGGGGCTTTGTTTTCTTCCAAAGCCAAGGTTGGTTCAGACCAGAGCTAAGCTGGGCTTCCCTGTTAGCAAAGTCAGAAGACTGCACAAGTCCAAACATAGGAGCTCTTGGTCCAAGGCCAGTGGGTGGTGGGAACCGAGTTCAGAGGCGGCTTACCTGGGGCCTTGTACTTCTGGAAGGTGTCATTGATGAGTGGGAAGAAAAGAATGATGGGGGCATCAGGCTCCTGGGAGTTCTCCAGCAAGTAGCACTCCTTGAGGTTTTCCTCGTCCTCTTGCAACTCGTATTTGGGGAAGGGGATGTTCTGCACTGTGCAGTACTCACAGGTTTGTTTTATGGGCTGGAATAGAACAGGACACGCTGGAGGATTAGGAAGGGTGGGAGTGGGTAAGCAACCTGGAGCTCTAGATCCAGCTTCCTGATTTCCCCAGCCAACAACTCAGGTCTCCAACTACTTTGCCTCTTTGTGCTATTTTCAGAGCAAAGAGCCTGAGAGTTGGTGTGGGTCCAACTACAAGCTCCTTCTGAAGGTGGACAGAAGCCCTTTCAATGATGCTTCACCCAAACACAGACCTGGGTAGATGTGGGCGGCAGCATGAGGGTGATTGGAGCTATGCCACATCTGGCCATGTCCGGTCAGGCTCCTATGGGATGTGCATGGCCTTTGGAACGGACAAAGGGCCACAAGGCTGGAAAGGACTCTGAAAGGGCATCTTTATAAACATGATGTAACAGAAAGAGCGGTGGACTGATGTCAGAATTCCCTTACTTCTGCCCCCCGTTCCAAGCTCACTAGTAGTGTGATCTTGAGCGAGCCACTGACCCCTCTCTGTGTCTCAGTTTCCCAGCCTATAATACAGGAATAATAGTAGTTGTGCCAACCACCTCGAAGAGCCGGTGTAAAGATCAAGGGCGAGCAAGTGTAGGAAAGCATGCGGTCACTCATTTATAAACTTGACTCCTTATCATTGGTGTCATGCTTATCCTCTGTCTCTACGCCCCTTTCCTGGGCTTCAGGATAGGACTGTACTAAAGGAGACCAAAAAACAATTTCTTCCCCTTAAAAGGCCAGAACTTTTCAAAGGTAAATAGAGACAAATAAACAAAAACCTCTGGTCCTGGCTTTTAATATAATCACATGGAGGGTCATATTTCCTGAGGAAAAGGGCAATGTGATTATTTTGAAAATAGGACATTATAAACTCTTGAAGTGGTACAAAACGTTAGAATTGACTGGACTCCATTAAGGTTATTTTTAAGAACTCCTGTTTTTTTTGCAGCTGACGAATTGCCAAATACAGCAAATGGTCAGATAATAAAATTGCTGAAATAAAACTAGAATTCGCTCCCTGGGTCTCTTTAAAGCCCACACTGCATGTGAGGGCCAGCTGGCTGCCCCTTGAGGTTTGGATGGCTAACCTTACATCGGGTAGAGCTGCTTGAGTTTCTCTGATGCTAAGTCTTGGGGCCTGTGGGGAATGCACGTTCTCCCATTTCCCAGTTTCGTGAAGGCTCAGTATGTGGCCTGTCTCAGAAGAGGCACAGCGCTTCTGCTCAGGCAGGAGCCTTTCTTTGTCACACTTGCCTTTGTCTGGGACCCAGCACAGTAATTGAGGTGGATGATGAGATCGACTTTTCTCTCGGGCCTAAGGAGGGGTGGGTAGCTGGAGTTGACGAAGAATGCGGTGTCCAACAGGCACAAGTGCTTCACAGACTCTGTCAGCTGGTTTGGGAAACCATCTAGCACCGTGTCTGAAAGCCAAGATTTCCAGTTACCATCATGCCCTGGTGCCCTGATCTCAGTGGATGGTCCCATTCTGTGGACAGAATGCCCGGCCTGGAGCTCCTTCACCTGGGTCTGGGCTTTGGGCCCTCCCCCTTCCAGCCAGGACCCCTGGTGAGTCCCAGTGTCCCTTGGGGTGGGCTGATAAAGAATAGCATTATCTTGGGGTTGTAGCAAGTCTTTTATGGAACACACAGAGAAAAACCACTCTGACTCAGCCACAGAGGTTTGGGGTTGCAGGGATATAAAACTATCTTATAAATTAGTGCACACCCTGGGCCTAGAGCCAGCTGCCCTTTCTGCCCCAGACATCGAGAATGAGGATTATTAGGCCAGGTCAAAGCAGCCATTTGCAGGCTGTGGCCAAGGAAAATACCAGTGATGGGGGCAAATCAATTTTTGAGCAGGGTGGGGAGGGGGCACTGAGTTGAAGCTACATGACCACAATTTAAGACCTGGCTCTGCCACTTACCATTTGGGGGTTCTTGAGCTGGACCATCCCTACCCAACTCTCAGGGGCACCATTCACATTAAAAGGTGCCCCCAGAGCACAACGAGAGAAGTCAGGGCCCTCATTTCCCCAGCAGGGTCCCAACTTCTACCTGTTGGGATTGTTGTACAGATTCAAGTAATTAAATACCAACACTGCTCCACCTACGTTCAGAACCTCACCAAACATGGAAGACGCCCTCAGGAGAGTCTGCCCCCCTTTCCCCCCACCCCTACGAACATGGTCAGAGGAGCTTTGCCACCATTTCTCCATGGCAGCCTCAACATGCACTTCTCCTTTATCCAGGCAGAGGCGGGCAGCCAGGGAGGGTTACCTCTCCACCTGGAGAACTGGCTGTTCTGGAGGTAGTCGGTGTGCAGCTGCAGGCCCAACAGGAAGTTGTGGAACTGAGACACAAAGGACCGGTGGGTGAGGATGCTGCGGAAAGTATTGGAGAGCCACGACCCTGGGATCACCACCGCGGTGTCCAAGACGTTGGCGTCACATTTGGGGATTTCGGGCAGGAGTGGCTCATCTTCTGCAGGGGAGAGGGGAGGATGGAAGGCAGGTCACAAGAGCTGGGGTTCCCGGGTGGCCCAGGCAGAGCCTGCATGGTTACCCGGCACCCAGGGGTCAGCCACTGTAAGTGCGGATCACACCTTCCTTGCCTAGTTGTTAAGGCCCTGGCACTGGAGACTTAGAGACCAGAGACAGGGTGGTGGAGAAGAGGAGTGATGACAGGTAAGGGGGGCGGGTCCCAGAGAGGACAGGGAATCTAGAAGCACCCCTGTAACTGTGCTTGTGGATCCCTACCCCCTTGGCTCTCCTGGGCACTGTACCACTCTGCTGGCCCCTCCTCCACCCCCAGCCAGGCCCGGGCGGACCCCTGAAACTTGTGATGGAGACTTGATCACCTTCCCCTTCAGGCAGGGACGACCCCACCCTTGCTGCTTTCTCATCTCTGAACCACAGAGATGACATTGAAACACTAGGTTTGTGATCCACCCCTCCCCCGCATCACCCAACCAAGAGGGGAAGCCAGTGGGGTCACCCACCGATGTCGTGCACTCTCTCCCTGGTCCATCTGTGGAAAAACTCCTCTGAGCTTTGGGACAGATTCCAGGCATCGAGCAAGTTTAGGGAGAAGATGCTGCTCCACAAGCCTAGGGGGCAGGGCCAGCCGTGAGCACCTCTACCCCAGAGCCCCCAGCCACCCAAACACTGACTACTTCTACCTTGGCCTTGATGTTCCCTCCCAGTCGGGCTGCTCAGGGGGTGAGACAGACTTTGATTCCCCTCCCCCCACAGGGCAGCGGGACCCCCATGACGGATGAGGGCATGCTGGCAAATGCAGGAGGGTCGCATGCTCAAGGGATAACCCAAACCAGCACCAGCACCCAGGAAAAGATCCTGGGGGAACGGAGCAGACCTCCCTGTCACTCCTCGAATTCAAAGGGGGGGGGGGCGCCTGCCCAGCATGGGGCGGGGTCCCCACGGGCCTCCCGGGCCAGGAGTCACCTAGCATGTAGCACATCCGCGACTCTGGGATCCTCTTCATCAGCCGCCCCATGAAGAACTCAGAGCCAAAGAGCTCGGTGGGGATGAAGGCCCCGTACTTCTGCAGGCCCACCTCGTAGGGGGAGAATTCACACCACTCTGCCCAGGAAGCAGCAGGGTGGGGTGTCAGTCTCCAGCCTGGACAGCCCAACCCTCCCTCCTCAGGGCTCCTACAGGTCTGGGGCCTTGGGGGACCTGCGACAGGGAGGCCACAGTCCCCCCACAGGGCACAAGGGGGCGCCCACGACTGGTTCCTGCTGGCCGGGCAAAACCGCCTTGCCACCTGCATTGTTCATTTGCTCCACCAAGCTGGATAAACAGAGACCACAACCGACCTCGAATCAGGGCAGCTTTCTAGAGTCCCTCATTCTGGGCACCTTAAGAAATATCTAGAACCCCTTCCCTTCATAACTTTATTGCCCTGTCCCATCAAACGTCTGCTTCTAGAAAAGCCACAAGCCCCCACCAGCCTGATCTATCCACACAGAAGGGGTAGCAAAGTTGAGATGGAGGGTGGCAAAGGTATGTGGTGGGTTGTGCGTGTGCTGGGGGCGCTGGGTACCTTTGCCTGCTGAGAAGGGACACCCTTATAAATTTCCAGCCACCAGTGTTACCTCTGAAATCCTGGTTGCTTACATCATCCTTGACATTGATGGTGAGGTAGATGGGCAGGGGGTTCTGGCCCTCACATAGAGCAGCACGCTGATCTGACAGTTTGGATTCATTTCTCTGTGGGGAAATGAAATGGTGAAGGAGCAGAGGCAGCCTGGAGACAGTGCAGAATAAGGGGACGGTCTGGACCTCCAGCAGGCCATTTCCCGATTCCTGAGCCCACCTGGCGGCTGTGCAGGTCCCAGCCAACACCAGTCAATGTACCGGTACAACGTTCGCTCGTCCCTGGGCTAGTCACCATCCCAGACGTATGGACGGGAGTGGGACTGAATCTACAGCTTAGGGCTGTCCCTCAGAGTCCCAGGGTTCCCCTCGAGTCTCAAGGACCAGAGCAGGAAAAGGTAGGTGCGGAAAAGGCCACCACTGTCCCCCTTCATCCCCATCATCTTCCACCTGATGCACCCTGGAGTAGGTCCATTTTTCTTATCTGCTTTGCATGTTAGGCTCTCTCATAAAATTTGTTTGGGAGGGGGAAAAAGCTGCTTGTAAGAAAATTTAAACAAAAGGCTTGGAAATGGTGCACCAGCTGTCAGCCAAGGTCCCTCTGAGTCCCCAGAGCATGGTGCTGCCAAATCAGAGGGGAGCCTGCAGATCAGCCAGGGCCACAAGCCACCTCCCGAAATGAATCAGCCAGTATAGACGGGCCAGTTGAGGGGCTAGAGCCCACGCTCTGACCCTAGGCTCTAAGCAGCTGCCTGCTGGGTGCCCATCCCTGGTTGTTCAAGTGTGTGAAGGCCCCGACCTTGTGTGGGCTGCTAAACACACCTGCGGGAAAAACAACTCTCAGGCTTCCCTTGAAAGGCAAGCATGGTGCCTAACATAACGGCCCAGAGATCGGGGCACTGCGGAGCTAAGTCCTGGAAGTAGAGAGAAAACTATAGACTCAGGGAAGAACCCAGTCCATACTCACTGTCAAGGGAGCCCAAGGGAAAGAGGCTCTTGCGCCGGCCAGAGTGGAACAGCAGAGACCTCCTAATTTCAATCCTACACTTGCTCTCCTGGGAACCTTGGCTCCTCCTCATACCAAACCCCAGGCAACACTCAGATGTCTGTTGTCAAAAGCCGGGGTGCTTTCCTCCTCATTACATGGAGCACTAAGTATTGCTAGAAATATTAACTACCGCATATGGATGTAGTTCCCATTTAAGGAATAGCACAAAGCAGGACCCAGATTTAAATCCTATCCCGCCTGAATCCAAAGGCCAACGCCCTCAGTCTCTGCCGGCCCTGCTTCATCATAAGCACAGATTAGATGGTGGATTATCAAGAGGGGGAGGGTGGGTGGCTCCATCAAAAGCTGTGAGTGCCTCAGTTCTGAATCCCCATTGCCTAGCACAGTTTCTGACGTGCAGGAGGTACTTAATTTTTTTTGAAAGAAAAAAAAATGAAGGAATGAATGCACTTTGAAGATGAGGTTCAGGTCATCCTTCATTTTAGGGACGACCTGCATCTAGACCAGCACATGACTGAGAAGAGCAGGGATCCTGAGGCAGCCCATTTATGCCCATGGTGGGCACCAAACTCCTCTGACAGACAGCTTGTTTGGAGGACTCTCCAAGGGCCTTGCTGAACCTTCCAGACCAGCAGTCTAGGATGCTTCCACCCAGCCCTTCTTCCCTCTCTCCTCCACTTGGGGTCAGACTTGTATCACAGTCTGATGCCTCTCCAGCCTCCCCCAGCTCCCTCCCTGTGTTCTCTCCTGGTGTCTTGGCATGGCTCTCAGAGGACATGCTGCTGCTCTGCAGGACTGCTCCTAAGCCATCCCCACCACAAGGGTCTCAGTCATACACAAAGGCATGTGGGAAGACAATTCCACCGTCTTCCTCCATCATGCACTCGGGCACCTCATGCTTCCTACTGTCCACAGATGAATCTGCAGGTGTAAGCTAACTTCCTTCTCATGAGAAGTAAGTCCAGAACCGTCCCCGGCCCACCCTTCCCAGCCATGAAGAGAGACAGCTGGTCATCAGCCAGGGCAGGTTGGACCTCAGAAGAAGCTGAGCACCTACCTCATCCCCCAGACAGGCCTGAACCAGCAGGCCCCAGAAATCTGTGAAGGTGACCTTGTAGCCTTCCTGACCGCGCTGCCGAAGTTCCTCCTGGAATTTGGAGAGCTGGTCCGGGAACAGGGCAGGCATCTTGTCCTTGACCACGTGCCTCCGTGCCTCAAATATGGCAGGCTCTAGGTTTTTGGAGGACCAGTTAGGGTCACGGTACAAGGTAGCCATGGTCCTGGAGAGAGAGACACACACATGGAGATAGAACTGAGCCAGTCCAGGTCCAATCAACACTGGACCCTGGCCAGAGAGAAGGTGGACAGATCGTGGGAGACCCTAACTCACCAGGGAAGGAGCCTGGAGGAAAGGGGTGAACGTTATTACTCGTAGTCACAATGGCCACCACGTGCCAGGTATAGCATGTTGCTTGAGAGTGAGGATTCTGGGGACACCTGGGCAGTGCAGTCAGTTAAGTGTCTGCCTTCGGCTCAGGTCATGATCCCGGGTCCTGGGATCAAGCCCCGCATCGGGCTCCCTGCTCAGCGGGGAGTCTGATTCCCCCTCTCTCTCTGCCCCTCCCCCTGCTCGTGTTCTCTCTCTCTCTCAAATAAATAAATAAAATCTTAAAAAAAGAAAAAGAAAAAAGAGTGAGGATTCTGTACCCAGATCTTTCTGGGTTCAAAACCAGACTCTGCCACTCACTCGCTGTGTGATCTTGGGCAAGTTATCTAACTGCTCTTCACATCAGTTTCCCCATCTGTGGAATGGAGAGAATTATTACCGTAGCTCCCTCAAAGAGTTATTGTGAAGATCCCACGAGTTAATGCAATTTAAAGTGGTTTGAACAGTGGCCAGCACAAAATGCGTGCTGGGTCGTGGAGTGGTGAGGCCAACGCTGGAACCCAGGCTTGGCTGATTCCAGAGCCTGGACTCTTTCCACTCTGCCGCATTCATTCCCATAATTATGATGCTGGCGAAAGATTTACTTCCCCTGCTTCTTCTGAACTTACATGTGGGCAGTGGGAAGGAGTAAAACAAAGACGGAGACCCCTCTAGCCCCGGGTCTCTTCTTGGCCTGGACCCAGCCCTTCTGTCGATGTCAGGACCCTGGAACCCCGTGTCCTAGGTGACCTTGTCTGCAGCATCACTGTTGTCTGAACAGTGGCCTCTTTCTCCACAGGGCTTGTTTCTGGTCTGGGAAGGTGGGGGTTGGTCAAGAGATTTCATGGACAAAAAGCACCCTGCTCTCCATAAGATTCACTCTTACTTTTATATGTTTAAAGAGCTTTCAAAACCATTAGAAATGATTGATTTTAAAAGGATACTTCCCAGTGCTTTCCCAGACCAGGAGACCCTTCCCCTGCCCCCACTTCCCCCTAAGTTCCTCCCAGTCTCCTGCTCAGAAGGATGCAGGCACCCCTCGACCCTGATGGAAGCAGGCTTTATCTCCTTAGCGTACCACCCATGAGCCACGCCGATAAACGTCAGCTGTCCTTTTGTCCCGTCTGGGCTGAAGCCTCGGAGTTCCTGATGCACCAGCAGCCCTTGGCCTTTCTAGGGAAAGTTCACGTCCACTGCTCAGAGGAAAGTTACCTAGAGCTCCTCCGGGGTGAGGGGCCAGCTTGGGACCTCGAGGGCTCAGAGGCTCACCAGTCCCTGACAGTAGAAGTTGCAGCCCCTCGTGGTCAAGGGTCCCCTGCCAGGGCTGTGTTATGACCTTGGTGGGCCTCTTCCACCATAAAAATATTAAAAATTATGTTTTATGATTGTTGTATAAAAACAAATATAATAATGTTATATTTGTTCTCAGGTGAGAAGTTCTTTTTTTTTTTTTCCTGATCTTAGAAGAGGGTAAAACATTTTTCTGGACTTCTACAAGCAGTGTGGGCCCTAGGCATGGTGGCTCCTGTGGAGAAGTCGACCTCACACTGGCCTCATGTTGTGGGGGCGGGGGAGGGGTGGTTGGCTCGCTGTCCTTGCTCACCAGCAGAGAGTGAGGGAGCTGCCAGGGCAGAGGGAGGGGCAAGGCAAGGATGGGGGTGGGCTGGGGTGGGGGCGGCCTGAGCAGCTGGGCCGGCTCCACGTGGCCTTGGAGAGCTGGCGTGCTTGGAGAGGGCAATTGCATCTTCCCGGCAGGATGGGTCAGTGGTGGGAGTGGTTCATGCGTCCTAGCCACTGTGTTTCCGGGTCCCTGCTGCAGCCCCAGGGCACCCAGTACTAGGAAAGCCTCACACAACGACCCCATGGGGTCAGTGCTATTGTTAAACCCATTTTACAGATTCAGAAACTGAGACTCAGAGAAGTGAAGCTGCTGCCCAAGGTCACACAGCTGTAAGGGGTAGAGCTGCCCAGGTTTTGTGAGTCACGCTACCTGGGGGTGGGGAGAGCTTCACCAGAGACCCGTGGCTAGCCTGTTTAGTGCTTGCTCTGGGCTCCACTGGGCAGTGGCAGCCAGCTCCTTACCAGGTGGCCCCAGACAGGCCAGTGATGTAGCTGGCACAGTTCAGGATGTTCAGCTTCTGCAGCCCCAGCAGGTGGCCATACATGGCGGTCATGGATCTTGTTCCACCCCCAGTGGCCATGATGGCTATCAGCGGTACCTGGGAGCATACAGAGGCAGACTATTGGGGCGGTGCGGGGTAGGAGAAGACACAGACTGACAGACGGAAGCTTAGAAAGAACAGTGGTGGAGGGAGAACTGGCTACAGACAGCAGAGGGCGAGGCACTGAGTGACCTGAAAACTGCCTTTCACTCACAAAACCTGGCCACCTGGTAGGTCTAGAATTAGATCTTCGCTCCAAACCCAGTAGTTGGTGAGGGTAAGTGGCTGCGAAGCTTCACACAGCTTGCTCCATCAGAACGTTGTGGCTGGAAGAATTCTTTGCACTGTTAGTCTAGCCCTCAGTTAACAGATGACGACACTGGGGTCCAGCGGGCTGAGGGACTTGCTCGAGAGCCCAGCTAGTGTGAGATTCCCTAATGGTTCCTTCTGTGCAAGGATATGATATTAGGGCACCAGGCCCAGACCTGGCACACGAGAGGCGCTCAGTATATACTGTATGTACAACAGCAGGAATCACTGCTCCTTCTTGATGTGGGAAGGAGCAGGGTTGTCACCTCTGGATTTACATAGGTTTAAGATGCCCTTGGTGTTTTCCCCTAAAGATGGGAAAGTGGGGAGGGCGATCCTTGCCAAGATGTACTCTTTTTATTTGAGCAGGGACAGTAAGATCCTTCTGTCTGCTAAAGCCCCATCAGAGCCCTCCTCGGGCACCAGGTCTCCATCCTCTTGCACTTGGAGGGTGACCTGCTGCCTGGGGGGTGTGGACCTCAGTCCATAGCAGGGAGGTGACAAAGGGCTCTAACAAAGGCACACCTTCTGCCCCGTGGAAAGAAGCTGGCCCTCCAGGGGAAGCTGCTTCTCTGTAGTTTCCAACTGCTGTTTTTTTCTGGGGGGTTGTGTACGTGTGCTATCTGGGGAGAAGAGAGAATTGAAGAACAAAGAGCCCAGGGCCTTTTGAGTGGAGGTGGTAGAGCTTCAGATGTTTTCCTGGCTGGGGAGAGGAGGCCGTTGTGTCTCTGTGTAAGTAAGACTTCATTAGTCACCTCGGGATCTGTTGGTGCATGGGGAGGAGCAGCGGGGGCTCCTTCCTTTCTCTCTCTACTTTGCCCTCCCCGCCCCTCCCCTTGCAAACACACAACTGAATCAGATCCAGCACAGCCCTCAGCTGGGCACCCAGGAAAGGCAGGGGCGAGGCCAGCCTGGGGCAGAGAAGGGCTTGGGGGTGGCTGGCAGGGTGCGGTGTGGGCAGGACAAGCTCGGTTCAGAGGGGGATGAAGGCCCGGCCGGCAGGCCTCTGCTTACCCACCTCATCCGCAGACAGGTCCTCCTCCAGCTGCAACACCTGTTGCAGGGCCTTCGCCACCACCACCTTCCGCTTCTGCAGGAACTCCTGCTCTGCGGGGCACAGGCTGAAGCCCAGACGCACGTCCAGCATCTGAGGGCTACGGGGACAGAGGACCTTGATAAGCGAGCCTGTAGACTTCACCACAATGAAGACATGGCTTTAGGGTCAGTGGGTCGTAGGCTTGAAGACTGGTTCTGCCATATACCATTTCTGTGACTTGGGGTCTCTGCTTTCTCATCTGTAAAATGGGGCTAATCGTGCTTACCTCCCAGCACTGTCTTCAGCACTTGATGAGACTGACAATCAGAAAGCCCCTAAAGCCTCAGCTGACACACTCTGAGCAGGTGCTCGACAAAATGGGGGACTCATCAAACCCTCTGCATCCTCAGTCTGATCTGGGAAGTCCAGGAAGGCTGCCCCCACGTATCTTCTACAACCTGAGGCTAGACATGGGTGACAAGGAGCCCTGGGATCATTTTGGCCAATCCCTCTGGACCAGGCTTTACAGTAAGGGGCTTTCCTGTGGAGTTCACATTCTTTGGTAAGTTCTCCCTGCTCCTGGAGTAAATACTCCTTCTGTGTGTTTGTGCAACTGACAAAACCCCTTCATATTCCTGATGTCACCCTCTCATCCCTACAGGTCCACAAGGCAGGTGGGGTGGAGCTGCCATAACATGTCCAACACCTGCCTTCTTTTTACCACATCCCTGCCCTGGACAAGTCCAGGCTCCTGGCCTGGCAGCCAAGACCCTAGCTGCTCTGTGCAACCTCACCATTTGCTACTTCTTGGAAGGGCCCATAGGTTTTCAGATCCCAGAAGCAGTCCTGGTTCTGAGCCTTTGTGCAGCCCTTGCCTTCACCAGAAGCTTCCTCCCTCTGCCTACTTACATCCCTGGTGTCCTCCCAGGCTTAGTTCCCTGGGGACTCTGGGTGAATGGGCATTGACAATTTCTGAACCGAGTCTTACTTAGTGGCCTGAGTCACCAACCAGATCACATGTCCTTGAAAGCAGAGCCTGGGAGCTCTGCCATCATGTTTCCTCCATGCCAAGCACAGGCCTACAGACACAACTATGAGGAAATAACTCTTTCCCTGGCCTCAACAAGAAATAAATAATAAAACAACAGTAATAACAACACTGGTTGATAGTTGCTGAGTGTTCCTCTCGTAGATCACTGATTTTCGGCAAGGGTGCCAAGACAATTCAGAGGGGAAAGAATAGTCTTTTCCACAAATGGTGTTGGGACAACCAGATATCCACATGCAAAAGAATGAAGCTGGATCCCTATTTCACAGTGTATATACAAATTAACTCAAAATCTGTCATAGACCTAAATGTGAGAGCTAAGACCATAAAAACTCTTGGAAGAAAACAGGGGAGTAAATCTTCATGACCTTGGATTAGGCAATAGTTTCTGAAATATGACACCAAAAGTACAGGTGACAAAAGAAAAAATATGCATGCACTGGACTTCACCAAAGTTCAAAATGCCTTTGCTTCCAAGGACATTGCCAAGAATATAAAAAGACAACCTCCAGACTAGGAGAAAATATTTGCAGATCATATATCTGACAAGGGATTTGCATTCAGAGTATAAAAAGAACTCTTTACAACTTAATAAGGGGCAAGTAACCCACTTTAAAAATGATATAAATGATATATCCAAAAAGATATAAAAATGACCAGTAAGCCCATGAAAAGATGCTCAACATCATCAGCCATCAGGGAAATACAAATCAAAACCACGTTTCACTCCCTAGGATGAGTAAATCAGAGGGACAGACAGAAGGAGGGTACTTTACCAGGGTGTAGACTTCATATGTAATTCACAGTTCTCACCCTGGGAAGGGAAAGATGAACAGCCTTTCAGGGATGACAATTTAGAGCCAAGTGGTCCCAAGCAAAGGAGCAGCGTCTCGCCACACTGTCCACCCTGACTTGACTCAGCACACGCATGTGCACACGCATGTGCACACGCACACACACTACCCTCCTTCCCTCTCCTGGATTCCCTCTATGATCCTGAGCTCAGCCACTACACACCCTCTTTGGCTCCACAGCGCAGCCTGCAGTCTCCTCCCCCACAAGACTCCTAAGGGGGCCCTGCCTGAGAGGCCCCCCCCCCCGCAACCCCTCCCCTCCTGCTGTCCCCCTCTCCCACAGGAGCTTCGGGCCGCGCTGCTACTCAGGGGCCCCCTTACCACGGGCAGGGTCACCATCTGGCCATCGGGGAGGCAGTCAAGGGGCTGGTGGACGGGGCTGGTCTTCCTGTGCGCACAGCAACAGCAAAGCTGGAAGGATGGACGGGTTCTGTGAGGGGGTGAGGGGCTCCTCTGGCAGCCCCGCCTGCACCGGTCCCCCCCACCCCACCGCCACTGTCTTGTACCCCGCGGCTCCACTGGTTCTTGGGCACGTCCACGTGCAGGCAGGGCTGGAAGTACTCGGGGTAGTGGAAGCAGGCCGGGTTTGTGCAGCAGGGCTCCCGGCAGCATGAGACGCGTTGGGTGTGCTCGAAGGACTCCTTCACTGTCACCAGGAGGTCCTTCACTGAAAGAGGGGACAAGAAGCCTGAGCCCCTAGAAGCCTCTCACTTCTCCACCCCAACTTGGACCAGGAGAAAGCTGATGAGCTGGAAGAACCTGGGACGGGGATTTAGAAGCCTCTAGGGCACTGGTTAAAATGTAGGTCCGGGCAGGGCCCAGGAATCTGCATTTAATGAGGCTGTGTATGATGCGGACAGACGAGGTCCCCAGCAAGCCCTGAGATGCTGAGTCCTCTGGACAGGTCCTCCTAGATTCTGCTTCTCCAGGAGGTGCCCTGCACTGAAAACGGGCCCTCACCATACCACCAGTTTGGGGGTGCGGCTTCTTCCCCCTCCCTCTCCCATGTCCGCACGGCCATGCTGCTCTCCTGAGATGGGACAGGGCGGTGAACGGAAGCTTCTTGTAACTGTGGGTCTCTTAGGTCCCTGCCCGTCATAAGATGCTAGGACTTTCCATGAGGAAGGGGCACAGCTAGAGGGGCTGTGGGTGCTGTCAGTGCCCACCTGTCCTGGGGCTGACCAGTGCACCAGATCAGGCGTGAGCCCCAATCTGTGTGGGCAGAGCGGGCCGTGCTGTGTCACTGACCCCGGCCCAGGGCGCTCGTCAGGCCTGAGAGGTTCTGAGCGTCCCATGGGTGCCTGGAAGTGCATATCCCTACAGATCAGGGGGGAAGGCCAGGGGTTCATGACCTCTGAGGGTGAGGTGATCCTGAGGAGTCCCGGCCAAGCTCAGTCAGGACTGAGCCCAGGGCAGCTGTGGGAAGAAAGACTGACCACCACCCCCATCCCCCCAGCAGCAGAAGAGGTCAAAGGACTCACTTTTCCTGCTCTTCTTCCGCCTCTGGCATTCTGCATGAACCTCCAGGCGGGAGACTTGCCGAGACTGAAACGAAGGAAGGGAGGGTCAGTCTGAGCACCATCAGCCCCCTCCCTCTGCCAGGCCAAAGGGAGGAGATGAACCAGGGGATAAATTCAGCGCTAGTCGGATTTGGGGCCGACTCCAGGGAACAATGGTGTGCTGACCACATTTCCTGAACCCAATCAACACTTGTCATCTCATTACGAGATGGAGTACTTGAAAATGAAGCAGTCCTGAAAAATCTAGGCTATATGGTCACCGTTTACTAGGGGTCATGTTCTCAGCTACAGGTCAGGGCTGGAAGCTGCGTGATTTGGTCCAAAATAAAAAGAGGGAGCTTTCCATTGTGAGCTTTGGAAGTGACTATCTTCCAGCAAGATAGTCTTCTAAAAGTCAGATTCTTTTACTACAACCTCCTAAAGACTGATTTCTGGGGGAGAGATCTCCTCGAATCCTGAGGCTTTAGATGCATTTAACTGAAACGTCTGTACCAATAGCTGAATTATGAAAATCTTTTAAAACACCGAGCTTGTGCTTGTAGAGGAATTGGAGCTGGGGGGAAAGGGGACAGAGGCTGAATCTGGGAGAAGGCTGCTTCCAAGTAGATGCTTTAATTGGGGAAGTTCCCAAGGAGAGGGATCACCCTTGTGGGATATGGGATGCTGGGCCAGGGGATGGATGCCCCAGCTCCCGCCTCCCCAGAAGCAGGGGCCCAGCCCCCGCCCCACCTGCCCAAGCCCCGTTGGCCTGCTTTAGTTAGTCGGACTCCTGGCAGGCTCTAGGACAAGGGCTTGGGTGGGCTGTATTCTCTCCCATGGTTGTGTTCCCCTGGGAGCGGCAGCCGCGTGTGGCCTCTGGAGCTACAGAACCTGGAAGGACAAATTACCACGAGCACGCCATTGGTGATGAGGATCTCGCGTGGAGAGGGACTGGAAAACAAAATGAGAACTCCTGGTCAGTTATATCATTCTTGCTTGATTTCTTAAGAGGTTTTAAAGAACCTGGATAGGGTCAATAATGAGATAGCAGAGCATCCTTGATCCTTATCAAAAATAGCGGCTTAAGAAATCTTAGATCACAGGGCGCCTGGGTGGCTCAGGTGGTTAAGCATCTATCTGCCTTTGGCTCAGGCCATGATCTCAGGGTCCCAGGATCAAGCCCCGCATGAGGGCTTCCTGCTTGGCGGGGAGTCTGCTTCCCCCTCTCCCTCTGCCCCACCCCACAGCTCACTTGTTCTCTCTCTCTCAAGTGAATAAATACAGTATTAAAAAAAAAAAAGCAACCTTAGATCTGTGGATTGTCAAGGAGAAAAGTGGCATACATTTTAAATAGAAAAGGAAAAAAATAAATGTATAGGTTGGAAAGAAGTGTTCCTTTTTTATTTCTCTTTTTAAAGATTTTATTTATTTATTTGACAGAGAGAGACAGAGTACAAACAGGGGGAGTGACAGGGAGAGGGAGAAGCAGGCTCCCCGCCGAGCAGAGAGCCCGATGTGGGACTCAGACCCAGGACCCTGGGATCATGACCTGAGCTGAAGGCAGTCGCTTAACCGACTGAGCCATCCAGGCGCCCCTTCCACCTTTTTAAAGGGCTGACTATTCTTTATGCTCAACCAGATGCATAAGTTGTGCTTTATGCACAACTGTAAGGAGCTTTGAGGATAAACAGGTAGCAGGGAAAGGCCCGAGCCCGCTGCCTGCCGCAGATGTAAAGAGTTCTGGTGGCAGAAATGACCCATTCTCCTTTCTGGGCTTTATTTAATTCATGCATTAAACAAACAGTTCTGACCCAGCCGGAGAGGGGCCTGGTGCATATGAAATGTCTTCATGTTATAAAGTCAAGAATATAAGTCTCCAAGGTTACAATTAGCCTATAGGAGTCTACAGCCTCCCTTGCCAAAATTAGGCCCAAGACGATCTTGGCTCCAGATCAACTCTTAGTACCAATTTCGACATGTTTCATTTTGCAAGCTAAAGGACTTTTCCCCCAAGTCTTCTTGAGTCAAGAATTGGAGAGAGCCCAGATGCTCTCCAATGGGAGGCAAAGTTGATTTTAATTTGTTAAGCAGCTGTTGAGGGGAAATGAGGCAGCCCAAAGAGTTCCAACTGCCCCAAGGTAGAGGACTCTCTCGGAGTGGAGTTTGACAAGCTCTTGTTCTAACTCCTGCCTCTCACCCTCGGCATCTTCCCGGGCCGATCCTACCAGGGCTACCAGGAGAGGAGTCGGCTGCCCGATCACAAGGCACACTAGTGTCCTGAGCAGGCTGCTCCCTTCTCTCCCCTTCTCTCTTTGTCTTCTCCTCCTTCCTAACCTCCAGCTCTGGGGCCCAGTTCTACTTGAGTGCCCAGCATAGTCATATCTCTAGGACCCTGGGTCATCTTCCTAGCTGAAAATGATATGAGAAATAACCCCAGGTGTTGGACCTGAGCATCTCCTTGATGTGGTTCTAGAGTTGGCTGCAGAGCGGGACAGGCTGCTTCAGGCCAGGGTTTGGGGGAGGTTTTTTTTTTTTTTAAGATTTTATTTCTTTATTTGAGACAGAGAGAGAGCGCGCACACGAGCAAGGGGGAGGGGCTGAGGGAGAGGGAAAAGCAGACTCCCTGCTGAGCAGGAAGCCAGACTCTGGGGCTCGTGGTGCTTAAACCCAGGACTCCAAGATCATGAACTGAGCCGAAGGCAGACAAGTAACCAACTGAGTCACCCAGGTGCCCCTGGGGCAGTTTGTTTTAACAATTCAGGGTCAAGGAGGAAACCCCCTGGTCCCGACGTCTTTCTTAGCTTGGCCTCTCCAAGGCCCCATCACCATGTGGCAGGAATTCTTCCCAGAGGCCACTCTCAGGAATGCAAGGGAGCTGCAGCAGGCAATTTGGCCAGAGTTCTAGATCTCTGAAGCAAAACTAATGTCAGTAGAACAGGATGAGTAGGGCTGGGGCCCAGGCACCTACAGTATTTAGAACCTGCCAAGTGACTCTGAGGCACAGTGTGGGGTGCCAGGGGTGAGAGTGGGAGAGGGGAGGGCAGCAAAAAGGCAGACCCGGCTCTGAAATGCCTGCCCGGAGCCACTTGGGAGTCAGGACTGTGGTGGGATCCTAGGGGGCTGGGCCTACTCACCTCTCCTCCAGCAGGAACTCTACCTCCAGCTCTTCCATGCCCTGGCAGGGGGATAAAGGGAAGGCAGCTGTGACCTGGGGCTGCCCCTGTCTGCCCCCCAAACATGTCCCTTTAGCTTCTACCCCCAGCTTCCCATTGCTTGCCTGCCTTCCCAAGGGGCTCAGTACCCAGGGCAAGGGAGAGTTGAGATATCGTCCCCAGCCAGCTCAACTCTGAAGGATAGGGGCCCCTTCCCTCATCTATTCCTTTACACCTCTTGCTGTGTAACTTCAGGAAGTTGTGACTTCATTATTTTCCCTGCTAGAATGTAAGCCGGCCAAGAGCAGGGATACTCGACCCCTGCCGTGTCCCCAGGGCCTGGAACAGTGTCTGGCCCATAGTAGGAAATCAAGGATTTGTTGAATGATTGAATTGATAACACCTTGGTCTTTTCCTGCTCTGACATTCTCTGATTTGCAGATTTGCCCTTCCTTACCCTCATCTGCCCTCCGTCCCCTGGGCTATCTCAGCAGCAGGACTCTGAGGGGAAAAAAAGGGAACCAACATGTACTTCATCTCCATTTTGTACTGTGAACGGTGCTAGGGGCCTTAATTATGTTTTCCTATTTCAGCACCACAACAACCCTGCGTGGTATGTATCATCATTGCTATTGGACAGATGAGGAAACAATGCAGAGGAACTGAATACATTCTGCAAGTTTACACAGCTGGTAAGCATAGCACTGGGACTGAGCCAGCAGTACTGTCGTTTCCTGACTCGGTGACACAGAGAGAAACTGTAGGGTGGCATCATGAACATAACCAGCTTCTCCTCATGAGGCAGGAGGCTGAGGGCCTGGACACCGGCACCCACCTCTGGGTTGAGTGGGAACTTCACATGGGTTTTCTTTCGGAAGCAGAGTTTGGTGAGGTCATAGAGGATTGTCAAGAGATGGTCATCTGGTGTCAGTGTATCTTCATCACAGACGCTCAGCTCTAGCACGTTCTAGGGGAGAAAGGAGGGTGCAAATCTGGTTACTGTGTTTGCATGGGCCCATTTTCCTAGGAAGGAGGTGGGTCTGAGGGATGGGGAACAGCACAGAGGTCCCTGCTCACGTATGAGAGACATTTGTAGAATAATGAACTCAGGGGTGATAGTGTCTAAACCCTCCTTTCTAATTCTCTGAAGACTTCCTGACCCTCTGCTCTGATTCTCCTGGAGAATTCTGCTCTTTTGCAAGGTTGGCAAGGGCCTGTGAAGTGTAAGGGATATCATTTCACCCGGGGGAATGATGGAAGGGCAGAACAAGCAAGATCCTTGCCAGCTCATAGACTGTGTTCAGCACTGGGGCCCCTGGAGCTGAAGACAGCCCATTAAATGCTAGAAAACCCAATAAAAAAAAAAAAAAACAATTCAGGGAAGGTAACACCTTAACGCTCCTGGAAGGTGATGTGGCAGATTACAGGGATTCTCATACTTGATGGGCTTGGGGTGAGGTGTTTGAAATCTGTCCTTTGATTCATCAGCCCCTAAAGAGGTCTCATGGGTGGTCCCAAAGCTGCATGTCAAGAGTTGAGCAGCTACCCTGACATCTGGCTGAACACTGAGGTCAATGGTTTTGGGTAACATGGATTAGCCTCTGAGGTCTCTTGTTTCAAGGACCGTGGGAGATGAGGGTTGGGGCTGGGTTTGCCTCTTTGGTCCTTATCAGGTGGACATAAAGTGGTCTGAGGATTCCTTATTGAATGAGATCTGTTGACCTTGTAATTACTAGAAACACAGACATGCCCCAGAACCAACCCCATAGATTCATATGAGCAGCCCCATAGATTTTTAGACAAAGGAGGTTGAAATTCTGATTTCAAGATGGCAGAGTCCATGCCAAAATCCTCCTTCCTCGCCAAAACCATAAATATGATAGAAGAGATATTTTTATAGTAACAAATATAAAGCCCTTCTTTAAAAAAGACTTATTTATTTATCTTTGCGGGGGGTTGGTGGGCAGGGGCAGAGGGAGTGGAAGAGAAAATCCCAAGCAGACCCCGAGATCATGACCTGAGCTGTTATCAAGAGTCAGAGGCTCAACTGACTGAACCACCCAGGTGCCCCTAAAGCCCTTCTTGAAAACAAAAAAGGACTTATCATGAACCAGAAATAAAGAATCACCCTAAAACATGGAAGCAGCAAGCTGGACATATCAAGCCTCAAATGCACCAAGACTGGGGTTGATACCTCCGTGATGAGGCCAAATTTGTTTTAAGAGCACTCTGCTGAGGGGGCACCGGGGTTGGCTCAGTCAGTTAAGTGTCTGACTCTTGATCTTGGCCCAGGTCTTGATCTCATGATCATGAGTTTCAGCCCCACATTAGGCAAAATGAAATAAAATAAAATAAAAATAAAAAAGGGCACTCTGCTGAGTTGGTCACAGCTCAGTACGCTCAAGGGAGAATTCTCCCGCAGGAGAGTTGCCATATACCTGAAGAAGGCCAACACCATGAAACAACAGCCCAACAAACGAAAGAACAGACACTCAAGGAATTAGAAATAATAAAGCCTTCTAAAAAGGAGTTAAGATAAGGAAAACCCTCTGGCTGGAATTAGACTGTCCTTGGACCTAGTGAATAGAATGGCCCTTCCCCTCCATGTATTCTCCTACTTGGAGCAGGTTCTGAAACACACTCAGTTTTGTGGCAGGAACCACAAATTCCAGCAACAATTAGGTAGAAGGATAAGTAGACTCAGAGGGACAAACATGAGGCAGGCCTAATGACGAAGCGGGTGAGTGGGAAGACGGGTCGCCAGGAGGAGAAGAAGCAGGTGGGAAGAAAGACTAATAGACATAAGAAGGGCACATAAGCAAACAGAAGGACAAGCAGGCATGGAGGAGAACAGAAATGTAGGCAGGCCTGACAGACACATGGTGTCCTCTGAGTCTCACCTTCACTTGGCTCTGGATCTGGAAGTTGAAGGTTTCATTCCACTCTGGGTTCGGGCAGTTGGAGATGGTCCTAGTCTTCAGCCTCTCACGAGAAGCGGTGGGCAGCCAGAGGCTCACAAAGCAGTCTGTCTGGCTCACTGTCCAAGGAAGACAAGGGTTGGGGGGAAGGGTGGGGAACCAACCCGGGTCCAGAAAGGAGAGTGAAGAGTCAGAAGGAAACCTCAGGCAAGTCATTTCCAGAGCATGCCCTAGTCTCCCCTCCTCAGTCATGGGCCTGATTCTCCAGAGACCTTTGTCCCAGAACCCCTGAGAAGACCACAGCCTATAGGCTAGAAAATTCAGAGAGGGGGTTCATGTCCCACTGATCACTCTCCTGGACGTAGATGGCTTCTGGCTCTTTTCAGAAGCATCCCAGCTCCCTGAGCAAATGCCTGCTAGGTTGGGACAAGGTCTGGCTACACAGTTTTTCCTCCACCAGGGGAAGATCTGGTGGACCAGCCCCCACAGAGTCCAGTTTAACTCTTGCCTTAGTGCAAGGTACCAGGAAAAACAAAGTGGGGCTCTGGTCTTCCTCTGGGCTGGTGAGAAGCAGGGCAACAGAGCCTGCCCAGAGGGCCAGGATGGGGAAGGGCTTGGGTGGAATAAGAGTTTAGGAGAATCTAGAAGCAGGGGCCATCATTTACGTAGGACTAATGTCTTGACTGCACTTAGCCAGGCTCTTTATCCCTACACTAGTCTCCCAGCATGAGGCATGTGACCCAAGAAACCCTCACATCTGAGGGCATGTACTTTTTTTTTCTCATTTGAAATGAACAACCCAAGGGTGCTGTTGCTGGATGTGCTCTGGAGAAGGGACAAAGGCTTTGTTCTTAAAAGGCCCTCCCAAAGTAGAGGAAGGCCTCTCAGGTCTTCTGGCTGGAGCAGCAGAGGGCATAGAGGTGAAAAAAAAATAGCAGCCTAGCTTGGCTCCCTCCATTCTACTTGGGAGGAGGGAGGAAGAGGTGCTGTACCTGCCCTTGTCCCTCTCCTGGCAATCTGCTGGGGGTAATTCTCAGGGTACACACCAGATATGTAGAAAATGGTAAAAGTCAATACAGTCTCCAGTGTCAGAGAATCCTCTAGATGGTGGAGCTGGTGTGAAGATAGGACTGACCAAAACTAGTTCATGGTTATTAGTAGTAGTGTCCTGTGAGAATGAAACCCAAGGTGTCCCCCTGGACTGACTAGTCTTACATTGTCACTCCAGTGAGAACATTAGCAGAGTTAAGAACCATGGTTTGCATCATAAGCATCCCTCGCTTCTGATTTCATCTCCGATGTCTGATTAATCTTTGAGGCCTTGACATTCAGTGAATTGGAATTCATGGTCCTCCTCCCACTGAATAAAGGTAGGATGACACTGCCTTTTACAAGTCATAATTGCTTAATCCAGACACAAAGAATGATCAAAACCCAGAGGAATCTAAAGAAAATGATGACCTCATCATCCCCACCCGTCCCCTCCATGTCCAACCTGCTCCTCCTCACCATCAATTCAGGTGGCCGGGCCCGACCTCAAGTACCCTCCTTGGCTCTTCCATGATGTTTAACTCCGTTGACCTCTCCAGCCCACCCACTTCTTACTTGCACCACCACTGCCTTGTTGCAGGCCACCATCGCCTCTGCTGCCACTTACTGACTGGGCGCCCTGGCTCTTGTCTTGCCCTACTCTCGTCTTTTCTCTCAGGAGAAACCAGAGGGATCTTTTGAGAGCTGACCATATTACTCCCAGTTTACAATTTTTCAGTAGCTCCCATCTCTCCTCAAGAAGAAGGAGTCCCAACCACTCAACATGGCTGTCTCTCCTACTTCCCCAGCCTCAGCCTCCTCCTTCTACACTCACTATCACCCAGCCCCTGCCCTGCCACCAAACACACACACACACACACACACACACACACAAAGTGCTTGCACTCACCCTCTAGACTCCAGCCAAACCTAGTCACTTGTAGGTCTCAGAAGTGCCATGCTGTCTTGCCATTCCTTCTGCCTAGAACACCGTTCTCTGCCACTTTCGCCTCACCCTTCCCTTGGCTAGCCCCTTCAGGTTTCAGAAGGAACCTCCTCTGGAAGGCTTCCCTGAACCCTCACATCTCAGCCAGGCAACCCCCTCCCAGCTTAGAGTCTCTGCCCTTCTCTTGGCAGGGCACTGGCTACACTGCACCCCAGTGCAAGTCAGAGCATCTGTCTCCACTGCACCCTGAATGCTGGGAGGGCCTGGAGACCACGTGTCAGCACTTGCTAATCATTTGTTGAATAAATAAATGAATTGAATGGAAAAGCCCAACTTCCTGCTCGAGAGCACTGTATCAAATTCTGGGCTGAGTCACCACAGATATAGGTAAGCAACTTGGATCTCTAATTGCTCTGCCTATAGGGAGACTCCCCAGGGATCTCCCGGGACCCCCCCCTCTGTTGGCTTTTCCTGGAACACCTGCCATTCCTCCTTAGCCTGAGACATTCTCCTCAGGTCTGCCTCCTGTATAGTAGGAAGGAGCCTGCAGGGAGGGACCCCACCAACTCTATACCCATTTACTTAGCATGATTTGATTGAACCCGTAAAGGCCCCTTTGCCTCTAAAATCCCTTTCCTATTATCAGTCCATGCCTAAAATTCTCCCATTAAGCCCATTAAATAAAATCTCAGCATTTTTGGCCTAAGGCTTAAATCTCTAGGTAAGATACAAATACTCCTGGAAGAGACAGGATTGATCAGACACCCACACTTCCGGCATTGATTTGTTTTTCAGTTCTTTCTAAGAGAGCTGGTCCCACCTCTCTCCACAAGGTTGGGAAGGAGAGTGCAGCCGAAGGAGGGGGAAATCCTCAGAAGGATACTCTGACTGGAAGGGGAGTGACCGGCATGCTGGCAATGGAGAGTGATTAGGCAATGCTGACCCAATTCTGAGGATTTCAGAGACTGCAGGGGATTTCCTGGGCATAGATGGTTCTAATCCTTGTTCCTCTTAAGTGATAGAGGGCTTGGTCATTTGAATGACATGCCTCCTTTCCTGGGATATGGAGGGCAGAAGATGACTCAATGACATCTACAGAGGTTGAGAACACGATCTTCCTAATACCTCTGGAGACACCTGCCTCGCATCACTTGGGGTACTGGTTTGAGTTTTAACTTGATTTTCCCAAGAGGAATAAAAGCTCTTGGCCACTGGGAGGCTTCCAGGTCCACTCTATCCAGTCCTGGCCAAGGGCTGGGTGGAGAGCTCCTTGACAAGCGAGTCATCCCTGAATCTCATCCCTTTCAGGCTCCTTGAAATCTTGGGAAACTCAGGCACACACTAGAGGATTGAACCAGAGTGGAGCTCATTTTTGATCCAAGCTAGAAGAGAACAATTTGTGGCAAAAGTAACCCAGGACCCAGAAGACATCATGATAGTCACCAACCATATCAGGCAAGGCAGCAACAGAGCCCAGCCTAGGTCCACTGTGGGGTCTATACACAACGTGCCCCGGGCTGGCCCCCCCGCCCCCAGACACCATGGATGCCTCCCACCCTGTTCCTCAGGGGAAATGAGGACAACATAAACAACAAGGGGGTCCCCAAAGGGGACCTGGAAACCTCCCAAAGGGGACCTGGAAACCTCCCAAAGGCAGCCTGTGTGCCAGAGGGACTCGTGGGGAAAGGGAAGAAGAAGGTGGTGGGTCTGACTTCAGCCCATTTGTCTGGCTGCCTCTTCCCCCATCCCCTTACCTCTGGGATATGCAGGGGACGGGTGTGGCAGGAGGAGACAGAAGAAAGAGGCCTGGACAAAGGGAAGGTCTGCACACGCAGAGGTGCAGGCATGCCGCGAGAGTGGGCAGCCCGGGCGACCCGCAGGGTTGGGACGGACACACCCCAGGAGTGGGGACAGGTGAGGGCAGCTGTGGGCGTGTGCGAGCTGCGGGTAGCCCGGGGGCGCGGGGAGCGGGTGGGCACTGCCCGGGGGCGGGTGAAGTGTCTGGGTGACCCACCGTGGCATGGGCAAGAGAGGCGCAAGCGGTGGCCAGGCCCTGCCCAGGGAACACTTCTCCTCAGCTCACTCTCCGGTGGCCTGGGAGGCGCCGAGAAGCCTGAGAGGTCCCTGGCTCTCCTGCCAGCCTCTTGGCAGAGCCGGGCCCACACTGGACGCCAGCTGACCTGGGCTCTGGACACTCGCCCTCCAGGGGGTCCAGCTGGAGTCCTTCCCGACTGCTTGGCTTTCCCTCAGCCCCAGGGCCCTCCCGCCTCTGCCCTGCACACTCACGCCTGCATTGTGGCAACCGCTTCTCAGCAAGTCCGTCAGCCTCTCCCCACCTAGGCTCCGGCGTAGTCTGCCTCTCGCCTCAGGAAATCACGCAATCCCTTCCTCAGGAATTCGGGAGCCCTGCCCCTCGGACCCCCATCCCTCCTCTGCCTGGCCCCAGCCTCCTCCTGCTTGTCTCCTCTACTACTCCCACCTTTAGGCGATCGTTAGCCCTCACGCGCCGAATGGGCGTCAGCACTACCCTCAGGCTGCTCAGAGAAGCAAGTGTTGTTTGGAGGCGGCCCCGGCAGGTGCTCACAGAGGCCAGGTGGCTTCTCTCCCGTCCTCAAGATGGCCTCTCTCCCCAGATCGCCCTCAAGATGGCCTCTCTCCCCAGATCGCCCTCAAGATGGCCTCTCTCCCCAGATCGGGCTCCCAGGACTTCTAGGCGCTCACACTCAGCCTCTCTCGGACCCCAGGCCCTCAGAGCAGCCTTCCTTAGCTACTCCCGGCTTTCAGTGTCCTCCTCCAGTTCTTTTTTTAAGATTTTATTTATTTATTTATTTGAGAGAGAGAGAGAGAGAGCATGAGCAGCAGGTGGGACAGAGGGGGAGGCAAAGGGAGGGGAAAAGTCTCCAGCCGACTCCCTGCTGAGCACGGAGCCCAACGCTTAGGCTGCTCCCCTCTCATAACCTGGAGATCATGACCTGAGCCCATACCAAGAGTCAGAGGCTTAACTGCTTCACTGATTGAGCCACCCAGGTGCCCCCAGTTCTTTTTACTTTTTTATTTTTTAAAGATTTTATTTATTTGTTTGACACAGAGAGACACAGCGAGAGAGGGAACACAAGCAGGGGGAGTGGGAGAGGGAGAAGCAGACTTCCCGCCGAGCAGGGAGCCTGACGCGGGGCTCGATCCCAGGACCCTGGGATCATGACCTGAGCCGAAGGCAGACGCTTAACGACTGAGCCACCCAGGCGCCCCCCCCCACCCCCAGTTCTAAATCCTATAGTGACAAGTTAGAATGCCATCTCCTGTTACTAGTCTATAATTGCTTCGGGTATAAATGTCTCCCCTTGTTAAAATGTGCACTTGGTATCATAGCTCTCTGCATTCTCTGCCCCCCTAAGGCCCTCTCTAGCCTGAATCCCAGGGGTGAGGGTAGTACGAATAAAATGGAGCTATGGGGAGCCCTGCTGGCTCTTGGGCCATTCCTGTGTGGTCACCAGTGAGTGGGGACACGCCCTCAGCCAAGGGGCCTTGACACGGAGCTTTCTCCTCCTTGAGGGCCAAGCTTCTCTCTGGATGGGGCGAGTTGAAGGTGGCATAGGGAGGGGATCTGGGTTCTCCGGAGTTCTCAAATTCCACCCTAAAGACAAGCATGAGGGGAGCATCCTGCCTACCCAGATGCATTCATTTCTCACTGAAGCCAGAGACTTCCCAGGGCCCCCCATAACCTGGGAATGCAGCAGGGGCTGGGATGAGGGCGAAGTTAAGTCTGCGAGAAAACACTGCACAAACAGCGCCAGTGAGTCAAACTGCATCCATGGGGCTACGCTGCAGAGCTGGTGCTATGTGGCTTCTCTCATGAACTCCAGAACCCAACTTAGGATCCATGCACTGAGAAGGGGCCCTGGGGCTAGGCTGACAGATGGGCCTCTCCCTCTCCTTCACTTCTAACAGCCCATCAACTCATGCAGAAGCAAGGAGTGCCCAGTGCGGGAGAAGCTGATGCTCCTGGAAATGGGTGCTAGAGGAGGGGGGAGTGGGGAGGAGACAGTGAGGTGAACAGGGTTCTCAGACCCAGGCGGACTGCAGGGGCTGGTAGTCCCAAGGTCACAGGTGAGAAGAGGGGCCTGGAAAAATGATGTAAACCCCAAAGTCTGAAATACAACCTGAGTATAGCGGACACACCCACCCCCACCCACCCCCGCACCCCCACACACCTCTGATGTGTCTCCAGCCAGAGCCTGACTCCAGCCACGTCCCTCAAGCAGAGAAGGAGGGAAGACAGGAGGATACTCACCCCTATCAGCCTGTCGGACGTTCTTCATCCGGATGACCTTCACGGTCAGTAGGTGGCATGGAGACAGCCCGCCCTGTGGATTGAGAGGTTAGCAGGCTCACTCCTCAGGCAGTGGCAACTGACAGAGAGAACAGCTCAAGTGGGCCCCAGGCTCCCACTGTTCAGACCCACGAAGCCTCCTCCCAGGCCATCCGCATTTCCGGGCTCCGGAGGATGCCGCTGGTCCCCAAGCCTGGTGAGGTGAGGGGCTTTCTCCTCCCCCCACTACGAGCCAGCACCCCTTGGAAGGGGATGGCTTCAGGTCTGTTCCGTTCATGTTTCTCCTGGTTGAATCTCAGGATTTGAAGTCCCTTCCCCGAGAGTTTCACCCAGGCTTGGAGGAGTCTGTTTATCATCACTCCTAGCCCGTGCCTATGGCAGATGCCCTGGGATCCCTCCCATGGACCAAATGACCATATTTATAGAGGCCTTTGAACTAGAAGCCTTTACACTCCACGCAGTTCACCCTGTGTTGCCAAAATCTTGTTATACATCTTTAAGAGGATGCAATTCTCTATTTGAAATATTATGGGGGTTCTGGGAAAAACACAAAAATATGAAGAAAAAGAAGAGTCTCCAGCATCCCACCACTCAGAGATGATCACTATTATCACTTTTTTGGGGTTTTTTAAATGTTATAATTATTTTTATTTTCAACTCAGACTGTACACAGATAGATCATCTGCCTTGGCTATTGTCAGAGATAATATTGCAAGAGCTAGCTAGCTAGCATCTACTGAACACTTACTATTTGCCAGACACTTTTCTTACATTTTTAAATCTTCATAAGACCTTTATAACAGAGGTATTGCTATCTTTTTAAATTGAGATATAATTGACATATAACATTGTATTCGTTTTAAGTGTACAACGTAATGATTTGATATACACAGATATTGCAATATGATTACCACGATGAGTTTAGTTAACACCCACCACCATACCCAGTGACAATGATCTTTTTTCTTGTCATGAGAACTGTCATCATTTTGATGTCTGTCCTTGCAGCCTCTTCCGGGGCTTCATTCTAAGCAGCGACACCACAATGATGCCTGGGAAGGTTGCTACATAGACCCTGAGATAGAATTAGGGTCTCTTCGTCCTCAATCCCCAACAGCTGCCTCGAAATCAGAGCAAAAGCCAAACGGACAGTTATAAATAGGTGTGAGGAATCCCTTCGTGAGGTTAGCTCTGAAATATTGGGTGTCTTCACAGTCAATAACTTGATCTCACAGGATTCTGTTTGGAGCTGTATGACTTGAGCCAAAGGCCATAAACACCACTTCTCCCCTGGCTCTGGAAATAGGGCTGGGCCTTTGGCCAGACCCGTTCTGGGCAGGGTGGGCTCCTCGTTTCTCACCAACCCCCGTCAGGCGGAGCGGGTGTCCTGGTCTGATCTGGCGAGAAGAGGGAGTCGGTTTTCACCCAGGAGAGTGGTTGTGGCAAAGCCTGTTCTCACTGGCCTACATTCTCAGAGGGCAACTAGAGTTCAGATGGGTGGCCAGAGGCCTCAGCCCAGGCAAGGGTCAGTCCTCAGGGACATTTCATAGTGTGGAAGGGCTCTCAGCCATCACGGTCCTTCTCCTGCCCCCCAGAGGGGCTGCCCTCCCCCATGTGTCTTGTCTGGAAGGGCATGAGCATTCATGGCTTCCCTCAGGACCTCACTCGATGTCCCCCTGCCTTCCAGGAAAAGCCCTCTGCTGTCATCTAATCCTGGCACCCTCCAGGGAGGCTGCCCAACTCTCCCCACTCTAACTCAGCAGCGCTAACCCCCTCAGTGACGACCTGATGAGCGTCTGCCATATGCTAAGTGTAGTGTGTGTAATCTCTACGTTCCATCTCGCTCAGTCCTCACAACGCACCCCCCCCGCCCCCGGCCAAGGAGCAGTTATTATTAGCCTCACTTTACAGATGGCGAATCTGAGACTGAGTCCTTTGACGTTGGGCCCTCAGCTAGAATCAAAGGAGCCCAAGTTTGAATCCAGCTTTAATTCTTCAGCTTGAGCTCGTAACCATGACCATGGTGTCGCCTTACTTGGAAGCGACCGTTAACGTTCAACGCAAAGACAGGTGTCACTTGCCCCCCACCCCCTCCTCCTTCATCTTTTCCTCTTAGAACCTCTTTTTCTGGGGCGCCTGGGTGGCTCAGTTGGTTAAGCGACTGCCTTCGGCTCAGGTCATGATCCTGGAGTCCTGGGATCGAGTCCCACATCGGGCTCCCTGCTCGGCGGGGAGTCTGCTTCTCCCTCTGACCCTCTTCCCTCTCGTGCTCTCTATCTCTCATTCTCTCTCTCTCAAATAAATAAATAAAATCTTAAAAAAAAAAGAACGTCTTTTCCTGACAGATTCTTCTTTTCACTCTGAATTCCCCCAAGACTCCACAATAACCCCCAAACTCTGATGGTCCTTTTACTTGCAATGCTTGCACTTGCTACATTTCTGCCACTATATTCCACGATCTCTCTCCCTCTTTTTTAGAGCCAGCGCACACCAGAGCCTAAGGTTCTTGGAGGAGTTCTACTTCCCAGGAGCCACAGAAGGCTCCTTTGTGGTCTACCTGGAGTCTCAAATCACAACTTCAAGCTCAGGAATTTGCAGGAGAGACCCAATTCCAAAGCGCTCTACAAACGAACGACTGACATCTCACCAGCAGGGAGACAGAAGCTGGCAAGGGGGGTTGAGAGAGAACCCAGAGGGGTCATGCTGGGAGGAAGGCTGTGGGAACATGGGACTCAAGTCTTGGGCCCAGATGATTCTGATAACCAGGTCTGTGAAAAATGACCGTCTTGGATAAAAATGAATGTACCTATTTTGCTCCTGCTCTAACCAGCTCAACAGAAGTGATGCTAGGGAGAAGCAAAACTTCATGGCCCCAGAGGTAACTGATACACAGTAGAAAGATCCAATAGAACAAAGCACAGTGTCTGTGGCTGTGCAGATGGCAACCAGAAACCGGTGACATTATGGAACCCAAGTTTACGGGGTAGCTTACCATGTGGTAAGGGTAAAACCCTTTAAGGACTTGGACAAGCCTGTCCCTGGGATGGGATGCCTTGGCTGGTTATCAGGGTGAAAATCAAATTATTTAACAACAGCCACGGCCGGGCATCAGGCCAAATGGGCTGGAGCCCCGGAGCAGGGGTGGGCATGGATCCTCTGGTTCATGGGGGTCATTGGAGGCTCCTGGGTAAGGACCAGGGAGCACTCAGGGGGTTTGGAGCTCAAGGCAGGAACTGTTTGGCCAACAGGAGAGAAGCGTATTCAGACGCATTAGGAACCATACAGCTGTGCGGGGAGGGTGGGCCTGATGGGTTTCGGAGAAGCGCCGTGGGAGAAAGGGCTCTGCTGCTCAGGCCGCAGACACCCAGCTCCGGCTCTGGCTCCGGCCTCCTCCCTGGCCTGGATTCCTGGGGCTGAGCGTGCCAGGACTCTACTTCCCCTGAGACCTACTCAGGACAGGGGAATCTTGCTAGCTCATGTGGAAAAGATGTCACTCTTTGACCCTCCGGACTGGCTATTAGGCAATTCAATAGTCCCCCTTCCCGCCCCCGGCTTCATAGGCAGGACCTGGCGGGGGGAGGTTGTGGAGCACAGCTCCCCAGCCTCCTCCAGCGTGCCAGGCCCTGAGCCCACACGGGGCGCACTGCCTCTGTTCTCATCTAGCTCCCCCAGCACGCTCTGAGGAAGGTGCTGTTGGCCCTACTTTGTGGAGGAGAAGCCTGGGTTTAGGGAGACTGCTTCTCACACAGGGGCACATGGTGCAGAAGCCACAAGGCCAGGCCTCGGGTGTAGATCTACCTGACCGCAGGGCAGCACACATTCCAGCTGCCCCGGGGGCTGGCTCTCACTGAGAGTTAACCAAACTGGCTAAAAGCTTGCTCCGGGTCATGCACTGGACTACTTAATAGGAGAGGCAGGAGTAAGCCCTCAGCTGCCAATTCAGGGCACCCCAGGTCTAGCTGTCACCACCGGTGGGTCAGATGAATAGTTACCGATGGGCTCCTGGGGGCAGGCTCCCATGTGGGGGTGGGAAATGGGGAGGGGGTCTGACACGTGGGGTTTCAGAAGTGGTGGGTGTGATCCCCATTCCCCCAGGGCCAGGCGAACCCTTACCAAACCAGTCCACAAGGTCTGGGGTGCAGGAGAAGGCAGACAGCTCCTAGCGAGCCTGTGGGAACTCCCTCCCCAGGGCTTCTCAGGGCAGGCCTGGCTGGTGAGGCCACCTCCTCCTCCCCAGGGAGCTGGGTGTATCCATCCCACCGGTTCCTTGCAATACCTGTGTCAGAGCTCCCAACAGCCCGGTGATAGCTTTCAGGGTGTGTGGGCCCTCCCTGAAAGAACACCATTGGGTTGGGGACTTCATGGGACCTCAGAACATTACCCAGCTAGTCTGAGCAACATCCCAGACCAGGGGGCTCCTGGGAGGAGCTACTATGGCTGTTTTCCTTTTTTATCACACAAGCTAGGCGACGGGTCAGGGCAAGAAGTCCAGCTCTGAGGCATGGAGCCTCGGGGACCTGAGAGGGACAGGCACAGTTCTCAGCTGCTCCACGCCCCCCTTCAAGGTGCTCTGTCCTTTCTGTGGAAGCTCTCCCCACTCCCAGCCCAGGTTCCAGAGGCTCCACCAGACTAGGGAGGCAGGAACAGGTGCTGACCAGAGGCTCTTCCAGCCCCCTGAGGGCCGTGGGGAAATGTGGGGGCACCCCAGAAGGTGATACCTATCCTGGCCAGGGCAGCAGGGCACCAGACACCATGCAGCTCGGAGCTCTCCTCCTTGGGCTCCTCGGAGGCTGCGTGGGGTCTCCACCTTCCACCCCGAAAGGACAAGACATTTTCAGGGCATCACTCATCTCACTCAGGGATTCAGTGTGGGCTGGGGGAGGGGCCTGGAGAGGAGGATGAGGAAGAAGGTGCTGCTGCCAGGCCTGGCCATGGCGTGCCTATGGCAAACTGGAAGCTTGAAGTAAATGGGAAAGCTGAGACAGAGCTGGTCCGGAACCCTGGCAACCTGACCCTTGAACCCAGCGTCTCCCT